GACTCCAGCTGTCTCTGGAGCTGCTCTGCATCCTGCTGCTCCTGGGAAGCAAACCTAGTCTGGAAAGTTTCTGACACTGGGACTATGTCCATGTGCACAGCCAGCTCTGTGTGGGTGGAGAGCCAGAACCCAGGGCTGACCGCGGCACCTATTAGCTCTGGGTTCACGGGCAAGTTCAATCCTCTCTCCAGCGGCCTGTTTCTGTGTCTGTTCAAAGGAGCACCTTTTCGCTTCTAATTCTCTATAATCGAAGGAGACAAGCAATGGCTGGGAAATCCCAAACATCCAGGAATCAGATATTTCTATTTGGCTTAGGAAACCATGTGCTGGGGTCAGAGAGCTCTGATTTCAAATTCTACCTCTCTTATTCATTAGCTATGTATCTTTGGGTAAAAAAACCCTAACCTTTCTGATCCTTAGTTTTCTCACTTATAAACTGGGTATATAACCTTCCCTACTTTCTGGGGGTTATTGTGAGGCTGAAATGAGGTGATATATACAGAATTGCTTCACACACTGCCTGACACAGGGTAGCATCTGAAATGTTCTTCAAGAACAAGCTGTTGTTCGTGTTGTTATATGAATACAGGTGCAGCATTGCTCCCCAAGCACACTTTGAGTGACAGGTGAAAGGCCCCAGTGGGAAAGTGGTCCAAAGGGGGTTGGTAGGGTCTTGGGGAGAAAGAAGATGAAGGGAAGAAAAACCTAGAGAGCATGGGGCCTGGCTTTCTGTCCCCCTGTTTCATGCCATGTGACCTTGCTCAAGGGAATATATCACACTAGCCATCAGATTCTCTCTGTAAAACTGGGTTAGACAGTTTCTAAAGCCTCCTCCACCCCCAGGTTTGAGATTCTAGGTTTTTTTTCTTCTAAATTATCTGCAAAGAAAATGTAACACATACAGGTAATTAAGAAGCTAATGAAAAAATTCACAATATCACCAAAGGTGCAAGCTGTAAATGGCGCCCCTGCCCTGCCTTGGATTACCTTAATAAATAGGAGGGAGCAACGTGAACTGTGGACTTCTCCTTAGGGAGCTCTCACTGCCCAGCCTTCATTTCCTCTCTAAAGATGATTAATCTTCACCAAAGGGGCCATCTCCTCTGGGCTTCTTTTATTGGTCATCTCCATTATCACTTGGTGTGTGAGCCGGCATAATCTGGGGTTAGATTTCTTTTCCTTCTCTTTCTTTTTTATTTTTCTTTTTTGTTCTTTTTTTTTTTTTTTGGCAGGGGGATAGTACTGGGGATAGAAGCCAAGGGTGTTCTACCACCGAGCTACACTCCCCAGCCCTTTGTATTTCATTTTGAGACAGAGTCTTGCTAAGTCGCTGAGGCTGGCCTCCGATTTGTGATCCTCCTGCCTCAGTCTCCTGAGTAGCTGGGATTACAGGTGTGTGTCACTGTACCCACGATGGATTTCCACTTTTGAGAACCCTTTGGTTTTTGCTTCTCTGTGATTTGTAGGTCTCTGGCCCCCGGTTCCTTGAGCTCTTCGCTGTTGTGGCAGTGTGGTAGAGAACACTTATCTATGGGTTCTGAACATCAGGGCTCATTCTTTCTTGGTCTCTAACTGCCTGTGGGATGTAATTTCTCCGTGTTGGCTTCCTCAGCTGTAAAATGGGGTGTAAGCCAGGTCCACTTCACAGAGTGGTGGGAAGACCCAGCATTTGGTGAAGGAATCAAGTGAGCAGGTGAATGTGAAAACGTGCTGACGGGGCAGGTGACATTTAGTAACAACCGCTGACTTGCATTGCCTGTGTGCTCCGAGTCAGGCCCTGTGCTTAGCACTTTTCACACTGTCTCTTCTGACAACAGGTCACGAGATGAGGCCATCTCTATTTCCATCTTACAGTTGAGGAAGCTGACTTAGGTGGCCTTGCCCAAGGTCACAGTGCTGAGTCTCAGATTTTGTCTGGGTTTTGAAGACAGTGCCTTGATCACTGTGCTATACTGTCTCTCTAGAAAGCAAAAAGTGGCAAGAAGGAGGGGGTAGAAGACATGGGGGTAGGGAAGGGAGAAACCAAGGCTCAGAGAAGTCTAGGGATTGTTCATGGTCACACAGCTAATTAGTCTAAGTGTTGGGGCTTCAGTGTCCAGAATCTCCACCACCATCATCATCATCATTGTCTTTGACATCGTCATTATCTTCAGCCAAAATATTTAGTAACATTCATAAAGCATTTACTGAGATGAATACTTTCCTGCATATGGTACACAAAATAACCTGATGAGGTCGGTGTGATAATCACCCCTGGGGTTTTACAGATGAGGAACTTGAGGCTTAAAGACATGAAGCAAATAAACTCCTTGCAGATGGAGAGTGAATTCAAATTCAGGTCTGTGACTCTACAGCAGGGGCTTTTAATCTCCACCCAGACAGAATAAGGATATGCCCTTATTCTTTCAGGAATCTGTAATAAGGAGATAAATCTGTTGGGTCATAAAAGGAAACCAGTGTGAGTAGGGGTGGGAGGGTGGCGTGCAGATACCTGCCCTGACCTCAAAGAGCCAGGCCCCTTACATAACCAGGTGGTCCAGACTGTGACTTGGTTTGCTAACCGTCTACCACTGAGGAAGAAGAGTGCAAAAGTAATGGGTAGTGCAGGTGCCAACATGTTTCTGATTTGGGAGGAGAGGAAGGGAAGCAGAGGGCTCCTTCACAATTTTTGTGAGACAGTCTTTCAAGGGGTAGAAAACCTCGGCTCTTTGGCCTGGACACCTGGTGAAAAGCAGCCACTGTTATTCCTAGTTCACAGCTGCCCTTCATGTACTGGGTCTTCTTGATCATATCCAGACAAGTCTCCTTGCAAAAGAATAAACTCTGGGGACATTTGCTCCATGACCTGCAAAGCCTAGTGAATTTTGCCAGTCTTCGACTAAAAATTTAAATCTAATCTTCATAAACGTTTTTAGGAGTGAATAATGGTTCGAACTCACAAACAATATATCCTATTTGCTTTATTTATTTAAAAATTACTAAGTGCCTACTATTGAACCCCTGAGCTAGATGCTGAGGTGGCTCCAGGAAAGGGAAAAGATTCCAGTCTGCAAAGAACTTACGTTATAGTCATAGGAGGGACAAAGAATACAATGGGTACAGTGGCAAGTGCCGTTGAGGGAGTAGTAAAATGTGTCTTGACATAACAGAAGAGACCCACGGCGTCTAAACCCACACACCCATGCACACATATGTTGGAGAGGGAAGGTGTCCTGTGGAGGGACTTCTAAGCACCGTCTTGAAGGAGAATAGGAGTTGGCGAGGGAAAGAGGTGGAAGCAGGTGCTTTAGGCAGAGGCCTCAGGACATCAACCAAAGCCTGTGAACCCCAGAGAAGCCGTCTGTGTGGCGAACACTGAGCAATGGGCATAACTAGCGTACGGTGGGCGAGAGAAGAGATGAAGCGGATCAGGATCACAAAGGGCCTTAAAGGCTTTGCAAGGAATTTGGGTTTAGAGCAGAAGCAGGTGGGCATCTACCAGGAAGGCTTACACAAGGGAGTGGGTGGCTAGATTTGTGTCTGAGAAATGCTTCTTTGCGGGATCGACTGGAGTGGGGCAAGAAGGCTTTGTAGGAATGTGTGCAAGCCATGACAGACACTTGAACTGGAGAAGGGGCAGGTGGGTGGAGAAATGGATGATTTGAGAGCTCGGAGCAGCAGTATACTGCCAGGTTTCTGTTAGCGACTAAAAGGCTCAGGGGTCACTCCAGTTAAATTGGGCTAACTGGGCTGCACGAAATAACCACACAAGAGACACAAATACCTTTTTCTTTGGGGTCGCTGTGACGGCTCCTCTGATCTTAAGGGTCCACAGAAAGAGAGAGAGCAAGAGCACTTGCTGACTCCTTTTATTGAGAAGCTATTCAAATGAGGCAAGGGGTCAGGTTTCAGGGGGCTGAGTATCTTCACGATGTCCACTGTCAACAGGTTGACTGACACCTGGGTAGGCCACACCCAAGGGCACAGTAAGAGAAGGGGACACACACAAGGCACTTCCATGGAAGATTCTATCCTAAACAGGGCAAGGGGTTATATTACAAAGGAACAGGTGAGCGTAGCTCCACCCAAGGGCTGTAGCAAGACACACCCATGCACCAGACACTGACCCTCGAACCCAAGAAGGGTGGGGAATGCTCTGCCACATTTCTGTGACTGAGCGCCTCAGCACCCAGCCAAAGAGTGTGACTCAGTCAAGTGCAAGGTTGGTCTCCCACAGTATACATGGCACTTGGCTTCACTGGCTGCCTGTCTCTCTGCTCAGAGGGTTGATTTTTGGTTGCTCTGATTATTTTTTCACATTCTAGATCATTCTGTTCACATGAGTACAATTGATTTATTTTTTGTTTGTTTCCAAAGGTTGAGAAAAATGTTAGTTATTCGAATATATCTGTGATCATTAATGTAATATTCACTCCTTGTAGAGATTTGAAAAATACAGCAATACTGAAAGAATAAAATAAAAATTATCTGTAAGTCAGTGATTCGGAGACAATTGCTATTAACACCAATTTTTGCTTTATGGTCTTTTTTTTTTTGTTTTATTTGTTTTTTTTTAGGTTTTTTTTGTGGAAAAATTTTAAATACACTAACAAATGGAGCAAATCGCGCAGTTAACCCAACATATCATTTTAGCTTCTAGAACCAGAAGTCTTCTGCCATTCTGCAGTCAAATTTTAAACATATGACCAGGTTTTCACATTTTCTTGTAATCTAAAAATTTAGCTTGTTGAATAGTTTTGTTTTTTGTAATCCTGGATATTTGGCAAGTGTTAGCCGTGTTATTATCATTATTTTTTTTTATCCATTTTCATATGTTATGTATATTCCCACAGCTTTGAATAGTACAGTAAAAACACTGGAGCCCTGTGGTTTACCACTGAGACCTGACAATAAAACACTGAGTTTCTACCTCCTTGGGGAAGATCAATACAGAGGATAACTATTTCCGGGAGAGACATATCCCCAGTGGGAAGGAGCAGCTTGTATTTTGACTCACTCACCATGGTCGTCTCAGCAATGGATCCGAAGCTGTTGATGAAAATGTTGCAGCTCACGTTCACGGGAGGACCTGCCAATCAAGAGAGATTCCTGCTTAGCCTCGGGCCATGGAGAAATCCACAGTATAGGACCTATTCCAGAACACTGACTTCAGGGATGGGTCCCCTTGATGGAAGGCCTCCTTACTTGCCTGCTACCCCACCCCCAAGCACAGGAGGGGTAGGGGGGGGCTCCATTTAACATCTCTATGCCAGACTTCCTTGTCCCCAGGTGAGCAGCAGGTATAGAACACCAGAGGCTGAGCTGAGATGTGCTTTCATTAACACAGGATGATTCATCATGCTGCCATATGGTTGAAATCCCTTCCACAAACCCCACTGGCTGCCTCCTAATTTATGTCTGAAATGTATTTATGGCTCCAACATTTGGAGGCCATCTTGGGAATCGCAAGGAACAGCAAGTTCCTTGCCCTGAACTTATGAACTAAGAATGATTGCCTGAAAGGGCGATGATAGGAATTACCAGTGGAGAATCCAGAGGGAATCTCAAGGAAAGTCCACATATTTGTTAAACATTTTCAAGGCAAGTTTTTTTTTAATTTAATTTAATTTTTTTTTTTATCTTACAGCCAAAGATAGGAAAGAAGTGGAGGAATATTTGCTGCATTGGTATCTCCTTGTTGGAGAGCATTCTGTCTAGCTGGAGCCCAATTTCTTTTATCATATTTATTATAGCAGTTACCACTTTCCAAGCAATATAGCATTTGCTGCTGTGCTAAGTTTTACTAAAGATCATCTCATTGCATTCTCCCAACAACTTCATGAGAAGGAATGGTTATGTTAGCTGATGAGGAAACAGAGGCTCTGAGAGGTTAAATTATTTGCCCAGTGGCCACCACTGTTATTCAACGGTTGAGCCAGAGTTTGAGTTCAGATTTGCCTTCTACCAAAGGCGGTCATCATAATGTCTACACTCTAGGAGAGATTCAGGGGAAGGAAGAGGCATGCTTGAGTTACAGACAGTGGCAGAATCCAGAATTTTAATCACTGGGCTTCCACATTTGCTGACAAGAGCATCAGTGTAAAATAATAAAAGAGGAATGCAAGACCTTGGGTATGGGTGATAAAAACAGCAGGAGTCGGGCTGGAGTTTGTAGCTAGAGAGCTTGCCTAGCATGTGTGAGGCACTGTGTTCTTGATTTTCAGCACTGCATGTAAATAAGTAAAATAAAGGTACATCAACAACTAAAAAAAAAATTAAACAAAACAAAGCAGCAGGAGTCTAGGTGAGAAAGGTTCTGAAGATTGAGACAGAGAAGACTTTGTAACAGTGATGACCTTGAGCTGAACTTGAGGGTGGTTAGAGCTTCCATAATAGGTCATAATCCTTCACAGGATGATTGCAATTTGCAGTTTTTGAAAATTTTTTAAAGTCCAGTTTCATGTTGATCCCCATGAGGGACTGAGGTAGGCAGAAAAGAATCATTGTCCCCACTTCATTTATGAGCACAGAGTTTTAATAACGGCCTCAGTCTCATTTAGCTGAAAAGTAGTGGGGGTGAAACTTTGGACTTGAACCAAAGTTTGCTGAGAGTGGAAAGAAGGAAGTAAATCTCTGTTTGTCCTCTGGTATCCAATCCATTCTGTTCTTCTTTTAAAGGTGCCCCAATTATTGTACCCAGACTTAGCCAAGATCTCCTTCTGTTCTGAGACCTTGGTGCATAGGAGGAGACTTAGGCTTGGGTTAGAATCTGGGTTCTTCCTCTGCAGGAGTGTCAGGACCTATGGAATTTAGGCATGACTCCAAGCACTCATTGGCTGTTTGACCTCAGGAGTGCCCCTCCCATTTGACAGGCCTCAGTTTCCCTATCCATCTGGAGAGAGAGTAGCTCTTGAACTAGGTAGCCATTCTCAGCCCCAGAGGGCTGGGATTATTTTAGGGAAGCTCTCCACTAAAAATTGCTCTGCTTCAAGATCCTTTTGAATTTCAGAGTTACAAAGTTTCAGGGCTGGAAGATTGCTTACAGGTTACCTCATCCTTGGCTTTTAAAACAAATGTGCAGACCAGACTCTAATGGGCAGTAGAATTACCCAGGAAACTTGTTATTTTGCAGAATTCCTGGCCCAACCCCACACTTGGTGATGCCAGATCTCTGGAGATGGGCCCTGAGGCTATTGTTCAATGAGTTTCCTGGGTGATGCCCATGCATAGCCAGGTTTGGGGACTAAGGCAATTCAGCAGCTCTCCTCTCAAGACTGATACCTACGCACCCCCAGTAGGGGGATGCTCAGCCTGTCTCGAGCCCTTTTCCTATCTGGATAGCTCTCTGTGTTATTTTTCTCCCCCTTCCTTGAGTGGAAATGTGCCTCATTGTTACTTCCACGTAAACAAAAGCTTGTTCTTTTTTTTTTTTTTTCTCTCCCTGTTTAGCCTCAGACTTCGGTTTTTCTTTTCATTTAGCCTCATACCATTAAGATGCCCCAAAGAGTTACTGCCCATGGCTAGAAATGACATGCAGGGTTCCCACCCAGGCCCTGCAATTGTCTGGTACTGTGAAGCCCATATAAATTAGATCCTGATTTATGTGTGCAAGAGGGCGCCTGCCAAAAGGACCCCCTGGGGAGTTGCGGTTCATTGACATAAATCTGAAATTAAATTATCTCAAGAAAATTGCAATCAGGCTGCCTTTGGCAGCAGGATAATGTATATATTTCATTAAATATTAAAGTTTAATTTTGCTTTTGTGTGAGTGTTTGCATCGGGCTGTGCCCCTAATCCTGGGAGCCATTGTAATCCACGAATTCTTAGAAAAAGAGGCAGAACATCAGAGCTGGAAAGGCCTAGTCCTACTGGCTAATTTTACGGATGCTGGAAAACAGAGGCCCAGATACAGTGAATGATTGATTCAGGGTCACACTCATCATGTACATGGGGGAGGATTACAGTCCAGTTCTAGTGCTTTACAGCTGCAGTATGATTTGCATTACCCTTGGGCTCTGTGGACCATGCCTGTAGTTCCTGGCCACCCCTAGCTTTAAGAGCTGGGAAATTTCTGATGCCTTAAGGAAGCTGCTGAGTGATTGATTAATCATTCTGTGGAGTTTTTTTTTTTTTTAAATGCTGGCTTCTCCCTATGTGTTGAGATCGTTGGGGGCCTGACCTACGTGCCCTTTTCAGGAGCCCTTTGGAGAACCTTTTTTGGGCCTAAGTGGAAATGCAAAGGAGATTGTGGGGCTCAGGGGTGGGATATCGCTCCTTACCAGCTTTTTAAACTCTCACCACAGAGAAAGTAGCAAACCCGTCCTTCAGTTCCTAACGTGACGCTCCAGAGTGGGAAGGGGAAGGGCCCTGATTCAGTGGTCTGGATGAAATAAAATGTTATTTCTTTTCTTTTTCCTGTGGTACTGGGGATTGAACCCAGGGCCTTGTACGTGCGAGGCAAGCACTCTACCAACTGAGCTATATCCCCAGCCATAAAATTTTTATTTCTTGAAAGTATTCCCGCTAAGTAAGTAAGTAAATAAATAAATGAGTAAACAAGCGTTAGATAAAGAAGGGAATCGTAGTAGCTGGATTAAGATCCCTGGTCTTGACAGCATGGATTGGGAAAGTCATTTTACAGCTCTAAGCCTTCACCTCGCCTATGTGTTGACTCATTGGGTCACTCACTCATTTATGGAGGGTTTATTGAGGGCCTTTCCTATGCTGGCATAAGTGACCCACCCTGGGCACACCCACGTGGAACAAATGAAGGAATCTTTGTCAGGAGAGCAAGACCATGACCCCAGAGGATGAAGTTCTGAGAGAGTCCACCAGGGGGCGTGGTGGACTGGAATTCCTAAGAAACCTCTAGTGGTAAAGGATGGGACCTGGTGGGGAGGCTTATAACCCATTCCCCGTGGGTTGGGTTTAGTCAATGATGTTTTTAAAGGTGGTGACTTAATTGTCAACTTAGAGAATATTGGATAAAACCCTAGATTTAAGTCCTATGTCAAGGCCTGGCATCCCAGGGCCCACATTCCTTCCTGCCAGGAGCCACAGGCAGGAGTTAAAGAGAGGCTACCCTTCGATAAGCTTGTGTCTTCTGATTTTTTTTTTTCTCCTCATCCTGTTTCATTCATGAGAAATTCTTGCCTGGCCCATCAGGGTATTTGAGATTGTGACTCTGGTGAAGGAACTGGGTCAACGGATTGGGTCAACTGTGCTATGCCTGCAACCTCAGGCCTGACTCACCCGTCTTGCTAATGATGATGGAAAATATGGCCTCAGAGGCAAGGGGCAGGGGCAGGGGTAGTGTAGGAGTGTTAAGGTGAACAGGGTTGGGGGGGGGGCCCAAACACAAACCTGAGTGCATCTCATGGACTGTTTTCTATTTGCAGAGACTTGTGGATAGAGCCCTCTGAGAAGGGGACTCAGAGAACAGGGGCAACCTGAGCCAATATCAGAAAGCCATTACAGCTGTCACATCCCTTGTTTGCTCTTGGACTGGAGCCCAGAGGAGCTGAGGAAGGGCATCTGGAATCAGGAGTTGGTTTGGAGGTTGACCTGCAGGTCCCTGGAGTAAGATTTTTGCAGGGGTGCTAGGAGGAAGGTCATTAAGACCCCCAGACTTGAACGAGGCAGTTTAAGGTGATTACACCTTCAAGGCCTCAGTAGACATAGAGAACTGTTCTCTTGTTATAGACATTGAGATCTCAAGGCCCTATGAGAGCTCAGAGAACCTTCTCCGATCGCCTGGACTAGAGTTTGCAATTTGACAAACCACAGGTTTATCTAGGTCACAAACAGGCTTCATTTGAATTGACATGTTTTAGATGTTAGGAAGTCTCACGTAGATCTTGATTTCTGGCTCTTCTCAGACTACCGGGTTCTTTAGTAACACGGGGCCAACATTCCTACAGGACCTGCAGTCCGGGACTTAGGGGAGGCCTCTCCATTCAGAGAAGACTGCACTTCATTTTGTCTATGGTCTGCACACCCCTTATTTTTTTCCGTGGGAACCTTTCAGCAGATGAATTTGAGTTGGATGACCTTTATCCAAAACGGAAGTGGAGCTGCTTGGGAAAAGGTGAGGTGGAATTGATGATTATACCCCCTTGTTTCTCCATTTTGGGGCACCCGATGATAACCCCAAAGCTCCACAAAGCATATGTTTTAAAAGCTGCAGGTGTTGCCAATCACGTCTCCCAGAGAGGGGGAGTGGCTTATTCAAGAATAAATTTGTAGCTAGTTGCAGGGGTGCATATTTGTAATCCCAGAAGCTCTGGAAGCTGAGACAGGAGGATCGCTAGTTCAAAGCCAGCCCCAGCAAAAGCGAGGTGCTAAGCAACTCAGTGAGATCCTGTCTCTAAATCAAATACAAAATAGGGCTGGGGATGTGGCTCAGTGGTTGAGTGCCCCTGAGTTCAATCTCTGGTACTCCCCCTGTCCCCAAAGAGTAAATTTGTGCCTGAGCCAAAACTAGAACCTATTTTTCCACATTCTGTGTTTATCCTCTGTCTACACCAGAGGTAGTAAATAGATATTAATGTACTTATTGACTTCTAGTAGCCAGAAGTACGGCTTTGTCTGGGCTTGGTGGGAGAGGAGACTGAGGAGACTGAATTGATGAGCAATGTCTGTCTTGGGTACAGAAAGAGTATTGGGATTTTACCACCTGCATAAATACCATGTTGTAATTTGGGAAAGCATTTTCTTATGGATCTGAAAGGAATTTTTTTTCCTCTACCTTTAAAATTGGGCCTGATCCTGGCATCATATCCAGAAGTTCTGCCCATCAGCTTATCCAGGAAATCCGAGGGTGACATCGGCTTGGGCGCAGAGCGGGCAGCTTCAGCCTCCTTAGAAGCAGCAAGGCTAAGAAGAGCAAGAGAAAAGCAAAGGTTAACGGTGACCCTTTCTTATGTGGTGATCAGATCCCAGCCTTGTCCCGCCCTGTGGAACCTCTGGAGTGTTCTAGCCCCAGAAACAGTCATATGGTCTCTAATGAAGGACGGCCCAGGCTAAATTGTTTACCCAACCCAAATATAAACCACTGTGGGATTCTGGCAGGCAGCCAAGTGTCTGACTGATGCTGAGAAACTACGGACTCCTGTAAGGTGTCATTTCTGGGATTTGGAGGAAATCACACTTGGCTGCTGTGTTTCCCTAGGGGGTGAGATTGAAGGGTTAATCCTTTGACAGCCTTTGCCTGGGTATCTGCCCTCTCGTAGGTCCATGGAGCAGATAACGGAACGAACCTTGGACAGGGAATTATCCAGGCTCTCTCCCCAAGGCGTCTTTTTAGAATCAGTCACTGAGTTAAAAGAGAAAAAAAAAAAGTTGCCAATGTCAAATGCATTTGGCAATACAAATCCAACCAGACATCCTCACCTCAGGTCTACACAGAGCTTTTAACAAATTTATATGTGTGTGCTTCTGGGGCTACTATCTCATGCAACACGCATTTAAAAAAGTGCTTAATTGGAAAAGTTGAGACCCAGCTCACAGAAGAAACTAACGTAGATTCCAGAGTCAGTCAGTGGTCTTTGTCTCAAGAGTTGGGTACTTTGAACTCAAACTCCTGGGAAAGCCTCACATCGTTTCTGTCCCCCACTCCCTCAGCAAAGCAGTTTCACATCCTCACAGTCTGAATCGCTCATGTCTAGGAACAGTGACCTTCCACCTGACAACCTCTCAAAGGTGCACAGGTTTCAACAAAGTCAAGATCTGAGGCTCCAGGTTGAAGAACAATCGTTGGGTTGCTTGGGCCACTGAACTCTCCTAATCCTGAAATGACCCCCAGGGCAGAGCCAGAACCAGGTGCAACCCAGAGCTCTGTGCTTGCGGCGGGGCTGATGTGTTGGAGGGAGCGTGGGGAGAGAGGTGTTTCAGGGAGTTAAGTAGGACTTGGCGTAGTTAGTTAAGTAGGACTTCTCAACTTATTCTTCACGCCAACTCCCTTTCTGATCTCCTCAGTTGTAAGTGTTCAAGGGGTTGCTCTAAAGGACGACTCACACGTCTCTATCTCGACTCTGGGCTCTCCCTTAAAGGCCCCTTTCCTCAGTTGCAAACACCTGCAGGGCCTGTGCCTCAAGTCCACCTGTGACTGCCACAGTTTCCTTCCCAAACTTGCCCTTCCAGATCCCAGTTTCCCCAGAGGACGCCAATGTATCCCTGTTCTCTTAGGACTAGAAGACCCTCTCTTGTCCCCCTCTCCTGGCTCATCCCTCCTCTAGCAGGTCCCGTCAAGGCACAAGCCAGGTCACTTTGCAGCATCAGTATTTGTGCTTGTCTTACAAGAGTGGAAATCGTGGTGGTTTTATTTATTATTTGTTCTCTTAACCCCCCACGGTGTCTACCATGATGTCTCACACTTAATTGGAGCTCGGTAATTGCACGGTGAATGAATGAATGAATAAGATGCCACTTTAATCAAATATCCTGGCTAGTAGGAAGCGTTCATAAATATTTATATATGGATTAACGATTTAAAAATAATGACACTATTTTACACAGTCATGAAAACACTGACACCATCTGGTATTCTTTTGAAGATTCAGAAGGTATTCTAGGATTAGACAATCTGAAGATACCTTATGCATACCCCGAAGAGCTAGTTTTGATGGACAGGATGAGGGAAAGGTGCATTTTTCTATGTGTGTGACTATGGATGCAGGTGAGTTTCTGAGATGTAGGTCTCTAGGTGTCCTGGGTATGATGTGCGTTATGTGTACAGATGGACAGATGTGCAGTATGTGTGCCGGGGTTGGAGCATGCACAGGAGTGTTTGTGGCTGTGCGGTGGATTGTTACATAAATATGTGCAAAACGATGGATACCTGTGTTTGTGATAAGGGTGGCATTTCGTGTGGGCATTTTTGTGTGTGTGTGTGGGGTATACGGTCTGAATATATAAAATGCCTCTGTAGATTTTGTATCTTTGGTGTGTTTGTTTTTGAAGGTACTGTGAGATATAAGATAGCGCAGAAGAAGAAGAGAACAGGTGATTTGAAATCAGTTCTACTTCAGTTATTAGTTAGGTGTGTTACCTGGGGAAAGCGAAGTAACCTCTCTGAACTTCAGTTTTCTCATCTATCCCATTAGCTTCATACAAGGAGTATCTGAAATAGCACTGTAAATAATATCCAGGACAGTTCTTGGCACACAGGAGGCCCTCCACACAGTCTTCTTTATGCTGTGTGTGTGTGTATGTGAGGGCTTCTCCTCTCACACTGCTCCCAGGTGCACCATGGACCTGCATGGCTAAGCCCTCTCTCCAGGTCTGGCCATCAGCCCCACAGTTTCAGCCTTTCCCTATTCAGCAGGAGACTCCTGGCCACTCTGCAGCTCTGGGGAGCAAAGGAGTCCAGGCACACAGTGGGTGATGTGAGACTCTTCTGCTTCTGATTCTCCCCTAGAACCTCTTTCAGAGTGGCAGTTTGATAGTCAGATTCGGGGACATAGCACTCCTCCCAGCAGCTACTGGAGCACAAGCCATCTCTTGGCTCTGAGGCCTCTTTCATAAGCCTGAATCCTATTAGGCGGTACAGTGGGAGAATGGATTCGTCCCCAATTATCCCAGACCGTTTGCTATTAGCATAACGTGCCATTTAATACTGGGATCCTCCACCGCTGTCCTCCACCGAGTCCTCTAGTTATTCTAGCTCACGCATCCGCAGCAAGGTATTTGCAGTCTGGTCACCTGGCCATTGGCTCACTGAAAATCCCGACGCTGAGGTGAACTGGAGGGGACTCTGAGAGGTTAAATAACTGGCTCGGGTCGCACGGCACTTTCTTTCTTGATTTATTTTGGTACCAGGGATTGAATCCAGGAGTGCTTAACCACTGAACCACATTCCCAGACCCTTTCTTATATTTTATTTTGAGACAGGATCTCACTGAGTTCTTTAGGGCCTCACTGAGTAGCTGAGGCTGGCTTTGAACTCGAGATCCTCCTGCCTCAGCCTCCCAAGCAGCTGGGATTACAAGTGTGCACCACCGCGCCCGGCCACAAAGCACTTTAATGAGAGAAGGGATAAGAACTCAGATTTTCAAGAGCTGTCTTATAGAAATGCTACGACATAAGGAAAGGCCTTTTGTAAATGGTGAAGACTGTAAATCAGGATAGCTACTATGATTGTTATTTGTTTTTTTATTTTCTTTTTTTCCATATGTTTATTGGTGTACTGTAGCTGTAAATAATGGTGGGATTTGTTGTGTTGTTCTGTATTTATATATGCCACAATAAGACAATATGATCTGGCCAATCATTCCCCGGTATTTCCCCTTTCTCTTTCCTCCTCCTTCTTCCTGGACTCTTTCCTCGACTAATCTCCCTTCAATTTTCGTGAGATTCCCCCCAAAACCTCTCTTTACCTTTTTCTTCTCTAGCTTCCCCATGAGAGAGAAGACATGAGATCCTCCACCTTCTGAGTTTGGCTTATTTCACTTAACGAAATGGTCTCAAGTTCCCTACATTTTCCTGCAAATGACATAATTTCATTCTTGTTTTTTCATGACTGACTAAAGTTCCATTGTGTTTATGTACCACCTTCTCTTTATCCGTTCCTCCAAGGATCAGAGGGCTGGTTCTGTGGTTTAGCTATCGTGAATTGTGCTGCTCTAAAGATGGGTGTGCATGTTATCACTGTAGTATGGTGACTTTAATTCTTCAGGATAAATACCAAGGGATGGCATAGCTGGGTCATATGGTGGCCCTATGTCTAGCCTTTTGAGGGAATTTTATACTGATTTCCATAGTGATTGTACTAACTTACAACTCCACCAAGGGTGTAGAAGTGTACCTTTTCCTCCACATTCTTTCCAGCATTTATTACTATATTTTTAAATTTGTTCTTTTTAGTTATACATGACACTAGAATGTATTTTGACATATTATATACACATGAAGTGTAACTTCTCATTCTTGTGGTTGTACATGATGTGGAGTTACACTGGTCGTGTATTCATATATGAACATAGAAAACTTATGTCTGATTTAGTCTATTGTCTTTCTCATTTCCATCCCCCTCTCTCTTTCCCCTATTTGGCCCTGTCCAATCCAGGGAAACCCTCCCCCCCACCTCCAGCCTCTTGTGGGTCAGCATCTGCATATCAGAGAGAACATTAGGCCTTTGGTTTTGGGGGATTGGCTTATTTTACTTAGCCTAATAGTCTCCAGTTCAATCCATTTACCAGCAAGCACTATAATTTCATTCTTCATCACTGAGTAGTACTCCACTGAGTATGTGTAACACATTTTCTTTATCTATTCATCTATTGAAGGGTACCTAGGTTGGTTCCGTACTTTAGCTATTGTGAATTGAGCTGTTATAAACATTGATGTGGCCATGTCACTATAGTATGCTGAATTCAAGCCCTTTGGGTGTATATATTGAGAAGTGGAATAACTGGGTCAAGGGTAGTTCCATTCCAAGACTCTCCATCTTTCTTTCCAGAGTGGTTGCACCAATTTGCAGTCCCACCAGAAATATATTCCTATATCCTCACCAACATTTATTGTTATTTGTATTCTTGATAATTGCCATTCTGACTGGAGTGAGATGAAATCTCAGTGTAGTTTTAATTTGCATTTTCTAATTGCTAGAGATGTTGAACATTTTTTTTAATATATTTGTTGATGGATCATATTTCTTCTTCTGTGAAGTGTTTCAGCATCTATTATTGTTTGTGTTCTTGATGGCTGCCTTTCTAATTGGTGGGAGATGAAATCTCAGTGTAGTTTTGATTTGCATTTCCCTAATTGCTAAAGATGTTGAACATATTTTCATATATTTATTGACCATTTGTATTTTTTCTTTTCAAAAGTGAGGGGATTGGGATGATCTCCTAAGAATCCTTTTCAAAAGAGTCTGT